ACTGTGGAATCACTTGGCACCGTTTCCAAAGCTGACCCCTGCTGCTAGCAAAGGGAAAAGAGAAGCAAGAGCCTGGGCTGTGGGCACAAATCCATGAGGCTTCCAAAACAGCAGTGTTAACACTTAGACTTCAGAATATCCATATACAAGACTGGATTAACCCTTTATGGACTCTTATTATTACCATGCTAAAAATACACATATTTTACATACAAAAATGGAGATTTTCTCATGCATGCACTGTTATTTCACACCTTCCCTTTCACACCTTTCCCCCACCTTCACTGAAGTTGACTGCAAAACTGTCCATTGGTTGGTTTTATCTCAGATAAAAAGTAGGACAGCAGCCCATGGTAACTGGCAGCCCATTGTAAGTAATCATAGCTTTAAAAAATTTATGAAATCTAAGACAAAAACATACATTCTTGTCAAACTTTAAATTCACTATTATAAGCTGAGGCTGAAGAGGCCCCTTGATTTAAATCATGTAGTTATACTGGCCATAGTGGTGGCATTGTGGCCGTGGTGATGATCTCAGAATGTCAGTAAAGCACCCTCTGCAGGGAGAGTTAATACTTTTTATTAGATTATCTGACAGGGTGGGAAAAGTTTGGGGCATGTTTTGCTCTTCTTGTCTGATTTTCCTAGCATACTAGTTGGTGTAATATAAGCTATTATCTCCCTGTGTAAGCTCTGTCTGATTATTTAAATCAGTCAACCAAAGACAGGTATCCACTTAAAAACTCCTTATTAAGTCAAATGAGCATTTAGGGGGTTTTGCCACCCACAGATGCCAAAGCTAATATCCAGCAGAGACATGTCATTCATTAGTATAAAAACCTCAAATCAAAGAGATGTGTTGTATGCTTTCAATTAGCAGATGAAATGCAAAAAAAATAGTTGATTCAGTGAAATTAACTAAACAGGGGAAAAATCAAGCATTATTATCTATAATAACACCTAATAATACTACATTATTAATGGTTATAATTAAGATGGAACATTCTAACAAATGTCCTCACACTGACTTTTAAAAGGAATACATGACACATTCCAACTTTGAAAACATTACTAAACTCTACAAATGTTCTTTTTCATATAGGATATAACTTTAAGGTTTCCAAAACAGGATGAGAACAAGAAGAAAAGTTGCAACAGCCATTTTTTTTGTCCTAGTATTTGATTAAAAAAATTAAATTGTCTTTAATTTTAAAAATATCTCTACATTAAATTATTATTTAACAATACTCCAAGAGCCTGACACTTGTTTCCCTATGAGATTACATCTCTCATTATACTACTCTGCCCTATTTTTAACCACAAAGAAATACCAAAAGTACAAGTAACAAAATTATTTTCAGGGAAAAACAGCTTTGAATGTTTTCCTCCTTTCTCCTCGTCCTTTGTGAGGAGGAACCTAAATTGACTTCAAGACAATACTGCAAGATTCCCCCATTTTTACAGACTTCAAGAAAAATCAAAAAGATAATGGAACGAGCTGCAGTGGAAAGTGTTATGGAATCTGTTTCCAAAACTGTACATGAATTAATGAATTAATCTGTTAAATGTAAATTTTTACATTGATAGTGTTCTACTCTCACAGAGTCACCTTTAATGTGTTTATAAATTTATAAACAACATCTCTGCCAGGACAGAATTGTGCAAGAGGATGAGAGCAGGGAAGAAAAGTGGGAAGAAAGATAGGATCATGCCCTCTAATTAATCCAAATATTAAATAATTATAATGTCCCTTTAGCTTAAGTGACACCTTGAAAATATAAAACCAAATGTGCTAGAAAGTAAAATTACTGCAAACCATAGAATTTTAACATGGTTGTTAATGGACACTATTTCATAACGACAAATTATTCACATTGGAAAATTCATTGTTACATAAAAGAGAAATCTGTTCTTAACAAAACCAGATTTCTTAGAATTTAGTAAAGAAAAAGTTCCAAATGCATTTCTTGTGAGAACAACATAACTAAGGCATATATTAGACACGCTCATTTTCTGAATTCAGTTCCAACTTACAGGACAATCATAATAGCCCTGGTGTGAACCAGCACAATTTCCATAGTTCAGAAATAAAACTGTGTATTTTATATTTTGTGAGACAATTTTCCTACCCAAGTTGTACCATAACTGCACCATTAATTTTGCACTCTCATCCTATTCTGATCCCTGCAGATTTAAAATAATCTTGAGTATAGGTTCTACTAGTAAAAGCAGCACCTAGAGGTTAATCCTACAAACTTGTCTATTTTCTTCTATGTAAAATAAAGCTTCTGCATGCAAGAAGAAAATGCTTAAGGAGGGGTAACTACATGATTAACGAATTCTAACCTTATACCAATATTGTCTGTGCATGCATAGCCAGCTGTAATATAACAATTTAAAAGAAAAGGTGAAATTTTCTTTTACAATCACGTTTTTATTTATTAAAATATCTATAAATATGCTCTATGCTTGGACAGATCCTTTGGAAAATAAATAAATAACACATTTCAAAGAAATCACGCCACCTTATGGCAGCAGACAGCAACACTCACGGCTGGTATTTCACACACATGGCAGTTCCAAAGACAAAAGGTCCAAGTTCATACTTAAATAAAAAAAATCCAAATACAGCATTCTTTAGACCTGAAAGCAATAAAGAGTGTTCAGCAAATGCCCTTAAAAGAAACTCCGTGGAACCTACTCACACTGTTCAATTTAGAAGCTTAAGCTGGATGCCAGCAGCAATCAGAGCCACAAGCTCAGAGAAGCATATTAACTTTCTAAATTCATGTTAGGATTAGTACCTTATCCATTCTGCTAATTGGGAAGAACACAAAAACAAGCAAGTAGCCTATACAATATGTTCATGGTCATTATTCCCAAGGTGGAGTCTCTAAGAATTTCCTGGTATTGTTATTTCCTCTTCCAGCAACTCTAAATAGATGGCCCGAAATAAACTAAACATGCACTAACAACATTGTGTTCTATTACACTTAGTGTAAGAGTACCTGGGACAAGTGCTGCAGTAACAATGTTAAAGTTTGAACCAAAACTAAAATACCTCAACACTGTATTACTTTGACTTGCGAAGTTTTTGATATTCTTCTCTGGGTTGCTGTTTCTCCTGGTGGCTGGGATGTCGTTCTTTTGCGGCACGCAGAGCAATAAAAGTAAGGGACAGAGAACAGTCCACACCCAAAGAGCTACATGTAGTAAGGGCATTCATCCCAGTAGATTTTAATACAGATTATTCCTTTGTCCAATTCATACTGTGACCTAGAATGTAAGTTTCCCCATCCAAAATAACTGCTCTAACAATTAGGATGCTGGGATACAGATAGATTCTTAATCCCTCCTGTTGGTGCTACTCAATTTACATACACTAATGAATACCAACTAAGACATAATGAGAGGAAAAATGGACTTTTTAGGCCAGTAACTTTGATGTCTTTCTGAAATTAACAGAAAGTCCCAAGTCCCTATTTTAATGAATATTTATGCAATGTAAAACAGCTCCAACAACAGAAATAAATTTTATTTTTGGCTTTTAAAACACTCAAAATATGAGATATGTGCATAAACCTGGATGAAATTTCAGTGTGGAAGAACGTGGAATGAACTGTTTTTCCCGTTGCATGTGAATAACTAGCACTAGACTCTTTGATATTCTGAGAGGATTCTCTCTTACTGCGACCAGAAATTCTGTCAAAACTGGGAATCTATAGCAGCAAGCTTTTTCAATTTAGAAGAATCACCATTTTATGATTAAGAAAGATGTAGCTGGATGGTTCCCAAACCCTTTTATCCAGAGGATCTTGCTGTGTTTAAGTTATGCACTCACAGTATTAAAGTTATGAGTGCAAAGAAATGAAAAAGCATTTTCCATGACAAGAAAAAAAAAAAAGAGACATTTAAAACAAGACACTTCAGACAAGATAGAAATAGACCATAACAAAAAAATAAAACTTTAAAACAATAGAGAAATAAGTAACTACAGTTCCTACCTGCATTCCCTAAGCACACCAGAAGCTTCTCCATATATTCTGCTCCCTAAAAATCCAGTGCACTGAGCTCCCTTCTCCTTTAGTCTCCTGACTCTCCTTTAGAGTCAGTGAAATGCCTTTCTTCCTACATTTTCCTACAGCAGAAAACTCAGTGTCTCCTTTCCTCCTCCCATCTCAAGTGCTTTTTAAACACCTCCTTTCCATTTAGAGGACTCAGTGTGCCACATTCCCTCCTGTGATGAAGAGTGGTATAATGTGTATTCCATGGCTCTTATGCCAAGAGCTCTGCACATATTTTTGTTTCTCCCCAACCACCAACCTTCTTCCAGATCAGCATTATTAAGGGGTAAGGAAAAAGCTCTCCAGGTCAGGTTTTCCTGAGGAGGCAGACTAGAAGATATAATGAAGCCATATTCCTACAGGTGGTTCCTACAGCAAAGCAGGAGGGGGTTTTTCATTCCTTGTTTTCACCAAAATCAATATGGTTTGGCCACTGAGACCAGGCATGAGGCATCAGCCATGTTATACCAGATGTGAAACAGCATTATATTACACTTAGAAAGACCAAAATCACCACAGTAATTATGACTTCCCTTTTCTCAACTGCTGTCAGAATTCATCAGTTGAACAAAAAACAGAATATGATGAACTTTTGATTCTTTTATATATCATGATACATCCATTTCTAAGGTATTACGATCATTTTGATCAGCAAAACTGTATTGTTTTGCTTTACGCAGATCCAACTGTGATAGGACAAATAAAGTCAAAATTCCCCACAAAAAGAATGGCCACTGCTGGCATCAATGCAACCTTTAAAGATATATTGAAAAAGACAGGCCGATAACCTGAAATCTCCATTCCCCTCAGAAAAATATCATATGATGATTAGTAACTTCATTACCCTAATACATTACTTACTTTCAGCAATGATCAGTGTTATTTACTGTAAGCTCTCTAGGACTCACTTCTAAGTTTTAAGTGAAAGTTATTTACCTCAAGGTCATCCAGAGAGCGAGTAATACTAAATCGCTTGGATCTTCCAAATGATCTTCGAGCAGAAGAACGCGGGGGAGGAGCCTGATTTAATCCCATTGAATGTCCAAATTTTGCAGCCTAAACAAAACAGAAAACATATTATTATTTTACTTCTTTAATTTTAATAGACTGCTGATCATAGTGACAGCATCTGAATTTTAAGGAGATGGATTTGAAAATCTATAACAAGACCACAATTTCAATAAAAGTTGGTTACTTGCCATGCCCCTGTACAATCACATACTAAAATTCATTAAAGTTGACTTTTCCAGTCTCAAGTCAAATATCCTAAACATTCAGCATTAAGATACTGTCTAAACATCAGTTAGGTTGCTTGCAAGTGTACACATTCTATATGTCAGTATTAAAAGCAAGACAATCCTTTCTTCACTGGTGTTTAAAACACAGTTTTAAGACTGAAAGTCTTCATTGTCTTTAAATGGAAACTATTTACAATTACAAGATATTTGGCTTTTCTGCAAGAAATTACCATCTCAGAAATCATGTCATCCAGCTTCTGTTGGAATCTTTCTCCACATTTTTAAAAATATTACTTTCACTATCCTTTTTTTTTTTTTTAAACCTTGCTACTGTGAAGTCCAACTTCTTAAATCACACAGCACCAAATGCAGGAACTTTTGTTCTAAGGAAAGAGACTACCTCACTTGGATATTCCATTACTACAACTGGTGCTGCAGTAATTAAATCTAATGGTTTTTTCTTGTCCACATAATCATACTCTTTCTCCTTAAAAAGTCACCAGATGTCACTTAAGCTACTCAGCATGTACATATCAAGTTTATGCCAAACGGCAAAGTGTAAGCTTAAACCTAAAATTAGGCAGGCAGTCAGTGACTGGTGCTAAGCAGATGTACATAAACTCACTACATTATGAAAACTTGTGACTATGTGCCTGAAATTTTGGATTCCTTTCACTGTAACATCCAAAGTGGGAAAAATTCCTCCCTGTCTTTTTTGCTGAGGCTTTTTTGCTTTAGAAAACAATAGACTTTAAATCAGAGTAAATTTTTTTCCCTTTCATTTCAGCAACTTTCTTCATTCTAGTAAGCTTAAAAATGTATATATTATTATTTTTATAATTGCTTATTTGGCAGATTCATAATATTTATTAAATTTTCTATTTGTGTTCATTTCTTCCTTTGGGCAAGTTTCTGTGCTCTCAATTCTGAAATATTTTGGTATCCCTTTGATCGGTCATTGGAAAGTCTACATATGTCACATTAATCAAAACAATCACCACAAATTTCACATCCTCATAATCTCATGCTAACAACCCCTCAAACAAAGCAGAGCAAGGCAGCAGGAGTATTATACAGCCTCCTCACAGCAATAAAAGGTATCCACCAGAAGATGTCTGCCTGTTTGCTAATTCCCATGGAGACAACACTATTCTATAGCATCAGGGCTTGGACCATCCCCAGTATTCACAACAGTTTCTGTTTACAAGCTCATAGAAATGTCAAGACATAACACAACATACAGGAATCTGGATCCAAGTATGTTGCAGAGATCATTCCCTTCAACAGGCTTGAGAGTCCAACTTTATTCAGTAATTAAAGTGATCCATTTTTCTACAAAACCTCTTTCCCTCCCAATTTTTTAATACACTAAGGTTGAGTGTTTTGGTTTGGGTTTTTGGGGTTTTTTTGGCTGAGAAGAAAACTGGGCAGGTTCTACCAAAGAAAAGTAGAAATCTGGTAACTGGAGATTAGCTCCTAGGGTTATTAAGAGAAGATTTAAAAGTGCATTATAAACAAGCTAAGATGGCTTTTGCTAAAATGATCAGCTAAATGAAAAGACAGGAAAGGTGCTCTCTGTAAATGTTCACAGAGAGCACCCACCGGAATGAGGACAGTCTCTGTTAAAACAACATGAATATATGTGTACAACTACTAGGTTTCACCACTAGTCCAGTATGACCACACTAGTTCTGCAATTTTTAAATTTTTAATCTGAGAATTAGTGATTAAACTCTCAGACTACAAACAGCTCAGCAAATTAACAATGTCATTAGTTCAACTGGTATTTTGAAACTAACGAAATAGTTACACAGTATGGATTCTCCTTAATGGTCTTTCATGTGCTTCTCAAATGAGTGCACATGCATTCTCGGAGATGCATCCCTTAAAGAACTTCATCTTTCATAAAATAAAAGTAAAATAAAAGTGGTGAAAGGGAAAAAAAAAGAAAAAACTATGACTAGCAGGCATATCTACTTTGAATAACTAATACATTTTCACTTTTCATTCTATTTCATCCCAAAAAAGAACATAAACTGTCCGGTATATGTTTAAATAGTAGAGACTGCCTGGTCTGATTCGGGGAGATTAAGGCAGGCACTTAGAGAACATACGCTCAAAAAATTTTGAAACAGTAACATTACAAATTGAAGGAAGAGCAACAAACTGCCTAAAGACAAATCTAATTAGATTCCACTGAGAAGCAGATTCTAGACAAGATTAATTATCACCAGATGCCCCACTATGGAAGCACTGCTTACCTATTTGTGGTCACAAGCATAACAAAGAGAAAGAGGGAGAGTGGACAAAAACCACTTGCAAATGGTGTGGTAATAGAAAAGAGAAAGTAAATTAGTATCCAATCAAAGTTTTTTGTTTATGGTTTTTGATACTCTTATAGAAAACTCACTACTGAGCCCTGGATGGAACAGTAAAGATAAGAGCAGGAAAAAAAAAAAGAGGCTCTGAGAATAAAACAGTGCTTAAGCAATGATTACAAAATATAAAAATTCACTAAACTAACCATTTCCTCAACCCAAATCTGGATAACAACTGCAATTAAGAAAACGTTTTCAACTGACAAAAATATCTTCCTTGCTCTGAAGAATCAAATTAATAATCTAGGAAATTAAGGAAGGCATTACTGAAAAAAAGAGACTCCAATTCACAAGTATTTAATTTCCTGGGAAGTCTCCCTTTTCATCTTTTCTTGACTCTGTTCCAGACATTCAGACTATGAAGGCAGACCTCCTTCTGCAAATCAATTTAAAAAAATGCTGTGCATACACATATGCCCACAAATAAATAAAGAATCACGTAACTTCAGCAAATAGCACCATTTTGGCAAATGTTTTTCATGAGACTCTGAAGAGCTGGAAATAATAGCATCCATGACTTGAAGAGAAAACAGCCATTGAAACTAGAATGTACTAATCAGCATGGCTAAGGAAATCTGCAGTATTTGAGCCAAGAGAGATTGCTAATGCAGTGACTGATGTTAATGTAAATTTTGCAGTCTGTTAGCCATAAAGAAATTATCATACTTCTAAAAACCTTTATTGCACTATTAAACAGATACTAAAAAACACTAAATGAACTAAAAACATTTCAGAACAATACAATGTATGGCCAACAAAATGGCCAGGTTGGATGGGGTTTTAAGCAACCTGGTCTAGGGGAAGGTGTCCATGCCCATGGCAGGGGGGTTGGAACTGGATGATAATTTTAAGGTCCCTTTCAACCCAAACCATTCTATGAAAAGAATGCTGTTTCATTCTCTGTTAGCTGCCAGACTAAACCACTGAACATTTGCTACATGAACACTAGTCTGTAGGGTTAGGGTTTTTTTAAGTACGGATTGCCTATAAGCCCTAGAAGTGTTTATTATCCTACCTTAAAGATCCTTTTCCAGACACATCATGTTGCTAAATCTATAAAAGAAAACTAAAAATATCTAGATATTAAAGAAAATCTTAAGAAATCTTATCAAAGAACAGAATTAGAAACTGAAGTCCACCTGACACCTCACTAAGTGTCTTCATTTTAGGAATTTCAGGAATCCAGAAGCCAACAGAAAAAGGACAAGAATTAGTGAAAACAAGTTGATTAGTGAAAAGCATGTGCTACACCAACACATCCTCTTATTTGCAATTCAGATAATTGCAACCCTACTACTACTACCTATCATGGTGAAAGTATAAAAGAACATCTCTCTAAAAGCCTTTATCCTGTTATGTTTTGGCAGATGGAGAGGAAAAACAACAAAGGATTAAAGGAATTAAAGCACTAATGCCCTAAAAAAAATCCATTATTTTTCTACTCTTAGAAAAAAGTAAAAATTATGAACTAGTATGGACTGGAATACCAGTTAAATGTATAATCTTAAGAGAAAAAGGACAATGAACAGAGTGTATGCAAATTTTTTTTTTAATATATGACTAGATCACCCCTTTTCATTAGGCTAAGAGGAAATGGCAGGTGCAAATACAGTCGTCAGAAATAACAATCAATCACTGATCAAACTATAGCCTTCCTTTCCCTTTATTTTTTTTTTTTTTTAAATTTAATGCTTAACCTGCTTATTTGGCGTTATGGATGAGCTACCTCTTAATCTACTTGACAAGAAAAGCATTGAAAACTAGAGGAGGACTGATATAGCAGCAGTCTGTGAATGTGTCCAAGCGAGAAAAGTTTCTGTCTGATAACAAGAAAGGTGTACAAGAAAAGTACAAATGGGAAAATGGAAAATGTTGTACTTTATGTATTAACAAGACAGAGGGAGTGAAGAAGCACAACTCATGTTAGACTGCAAACAGATGGAGAGAAAGAACAAAAATGATCCAATATAAGGTGACTTGCAGAACTCTAATTATTTAAAGATAGAAAGAGAAAGGATGAGCACTTGAAAGTAATTTTAGGGGATAAAAAAGGTAGGCAGTAGTTCCATATAAGATTTGCAGTGGCTATGCTCGCTTAAGGTCTTGGCATGCACCTCTGACCACTCGTGCAAGCTCACAAATTGCAGCAGGCTGCCCCCTCATCTCCACTAACAATAAACTACAGTTTACCAAATGAAATAATCCTATTTCTAAGGCGGATCCACAGATAGTCATGCCAACACTACTGATGATATTCACTGCCAACTCTGGCCTGAGCACAGCAGGAACTCTTTTTAAGCTGGTACTACCAAAGAAACGCAACGTGAAACTATGTCAGCCAATATGATACTCTAACTTGGAGCCTGAGTGCACAGGAGCAAGTTGATGAAACTTCATCAATTATTCAGAACCCAAAGAAACCAAACACCTTTAGAAAACA